AAAAGGAACAGCATACATTTTAGTGTAGGCAAGATTTTCATATTAACAAATTAGTGGTTTAAGGCTAACTGACATAAAATGCAAACATATTCTATGATACAGCATTAATAAGTATTTTACTACAAAGTCAAATAAAGCTGTGGTCAGGTTGTTTTTTGTTGTGTTTTTTATGTTTTGACCTTGGCCTCATTTCATGGATCAGTGATCAACTTAGTTTTCATGATTAGTAGAAAGATATAAGAAGATGTGGTATGAGTGCCAATGAGACAACTCTCCATCCATGTCACAATTTGTAAAAGTAAACCATTATAGGTCAAAGTACGGCCTTCAACATGGAGCCTTGGCTCACACCGAACAGCAAGCTATAAAGGGCCCCAAAAATGAATAGTGTAAAACCATTCAAACAGGAAAACCAACGGTCTAATCTATATAAAAAACGTGAAACGAGAAACACTTATGAACCACATCAACAAAGAACAACCACTGAACATTAGATTCCTGACTTAGGACAGGTGCAAACAAATGCAGTGGGTTTAAACGTTTTAATAGGCGCCAACCTTCACCCTACCTGAAACAATAGTGTAACATCACAACATAGAAAGACACACTATATAATATTAATTGAAGTGGCTTAACTCAATCAAAAGACATATTAACAATAAAATGCTCTGCAGGGCGCAGCTTGATACGACCACAGAGGTCGAACCCTGAACAGTTGGGGCAAGTATGGACACAACATTCAACCTTGATACAGCTCTGAATTTGGATTGTGATTAAATATTTGACACAGCATAGGTTTCTGACACAGAATGAATGTGGTCTAAGAACTTAAAAATTTTAAATTGGACATTCACCTATTATGGTCCAATATCCAAAATCTAAATACATGGTTAGATTCAGCATATCAAAGAACCCCAAGAATTCAATTTTTGATGAAATCAAACAAAGTTTAATTTTGGACCCTTTTGACCTCAATGTGGACAAAGTTGATAACGGGGCCCAAAAATCAAAAATCTAAATACATGGTTAGATTCAGCAAATCAAAGAACCCCATATATTCAATTTTTGTTTAAATCAAACAAAGTTTAATTTTGGACCCCGATTTGGACCAACTTGAAAACTGGGCCCATAATCAAAAATTTAAATACATGTTTAGATTCAGCATATCAAAGAACCCTAAGAATTCAATTTTTGTTAAAATCAAACTTAGTTTAATTTTGGACCTTAATGTAGACCAATTTGAAAACGGAACCAAAAATTAAGAATCTAAATACATGGTTAGATTCGGCATATCAAAGAACCCCAATAATTCATTTTTTGATGAAATCACACAAAGTTTAATTTTGGACCCTTTGGACCTCAATGTGGACCAATTTAAAAACGGGGCCCAAAATCCAAAAACTTAATACACGGTTAGATTCAGCATATTAAAGAACCCCAAGAATTCAAGAATAAAACCCCATTGAAATGGTCAAGAAATAAGCAATTTATACGAAGTATCTTCTTTTGCACAATACTGTGCAATTGAATATTTCTTGCTATTGCGCAATACTGCACAATTGACACTTTCTTGCTATTGCGCAATATTGTGCTATTGGATATTTCTTGCTATTGCACAATACTGTGCAATTGAAGATTTCTTGCTATTGCGCAATACTGTGCAATTGAAGATTTCTTGCTATTGTGCAATACTGTGCAATTGAAAATTTCTTGCTATTGCACAATACTTATTATATAATAATTTACACATCCTGTTTGGTGTGTATCTCCTACCATATCATTATTATTTGCTTTTAAATATAAATCAGAAATAACCAACTTAAAATGGAAAATTTTAAAAGAAAAAAAAAAGGAAAAAAAGAAAAAAAAGGAAAAAAAAAAAATCCCCCCCCAATTTTTTGAACCCCCTTATGATTCATCACCCCCAAACTCAATCCCAGCCTTCCCTTTGTGGTATGGTACCTTGCAGTACAATTTCAGAGAGATCCATACACTTGAACACAAGTTATTGTCTGGAAACTAGAAAAATGTGTTTTTTGGCCCCTTTTTGGCCCCCAATTCCTAAATGTTTCGGGCAATTACCCCCAAACTCAATTCCAGCTTTCCCTTTGTGATATGGAACCTTGTAGTACAATTTCAGAAAGATCCATACACTTTCACACAAGTTATTGTCATGAAACTAGAAAAATGCTTGTTTTTTGCCCCTTTTTTTGGCCCCTAATTCCTAATATTTTGAGGCAATTACCCCCAAAATCAATCCCAGCATTCCCTTTGTGATATGGAACCTTGTGGAACAATGTCAGAGAGATCCATACACTAACACACAAGTTATGTCTGGAAGTTACAAAAATGCTTATTTTTGGCCCCTTTTTGGCCCCTAATTCCCTAACTGTTGGTACCATAACCCCCAAAATCAATCCCAACCTTCCTTTCGTGGTATTGAACCTTATGGCAAAATTTCATAGAGATCCATTCGCTTAAACTAAAGTTAGAGTGCGAAAACCAATGTGTCTTCGGACGACGCAGGACGACGACGACGACGCCAACGTCATACCAATATACGACCGCAAACATTTTTGCGGCCGTATAAAAACAAGTGAACAAACACTAAACAAATAGATTTGATCTATGACACAATGTAAATAAGTCCTTTTCTCAATTATTATCTATTGCTGAACCATGACAACGAGTTCAAGGACAAGACATAAGACATACATCAGAAGGAAACTTTAAACCTTAAGGCATCTGTTTTCAAGATACTTAAAACCAACAAATTTTCCCCAGTGATATATTTTTGCATTGCAAAGTATGTAAAGACAATGAGTAGATCTTGAAAATAAGTTGCCTGCAAAGTTGGCTAGAAAGAAAGTATGCATGAAAATAAGTTGGTTTACAGGATAGAGTATCCAGGTCTTCCACCTTGTGCAGTATCTATACTACTAAAATAAGGAGGTCCAATTTGTTAGCCGGCATGACATAAACACAACGGATCAAAGAATTCAACTTTATATATAACTAGAATAGGACAATGGTGATGTTTAAAAATTACACCATTCCAGACCCATTTGTTTTCCACATAATTAATAAAACCAATAATTAACAAGCTATGGATCAAATCCGATACCGATACCAATAGTATATGTCACATGTAGTTTCCGGTAGTAGATACCCGTTACCTTCTGTAAATCCCTCCTCTATCAGGAAAACCTGGAATTCTTCCATTAGTTGTATGTTGCACTAAAGTACACTATTTAACAAGTCTGTTTTCTTCCACCTCAATACCACTATTAATTTTGGTTAATTAGCTAAAAAAGGAAATTTAGTTTATAGTAAGTTTATTGTTGTAAGAAAACCATGATGGTTCTATTAAAAAGAAAGATTTTGAAAGCAGAGAAAACTGTGCACCTTACAATCAGCATGACTTTATCAGATGACAATACGAATACTAAAAAAAAACAGGCTAAAAATAAGGCATAGGTACTCTAATTCAGTCAGGATCCATGCTGTCGTGGGTGTGTTCAGGTAAAGCTTGAGATGATACAAATGGTTAACCTTATCACTGGTACTTGCTGCAAGATTCGAATCCCTATAAATCACAATGGTCTTAGGGGATACAAAAATCATTCAAAATTTTGGGAAATATTGTTTTTATTAATTAATAGATTGTTGTAATTCAGCTTCTTTTGGTATATACTTCATGCATATATGCAGTGTGAAAATTTCAATGGGAGGATCTTTAAAGTGGATGGATCAAAAGAACAGGTGCCAGCCCTCCAGCCTAAAACTATTTTTAACGAAATTAGGTTCTAAATTGTTTTGAGTTTTAGTGTTTATTTATGATAACTGTGTACTTTCCAAAAGTTATGTTTTCTTATGAAATGAATTCCAAGTTTATTGCATCAGTATTTTTCTTTTCTCAGCATTATTAGTTGCTATCTCATTGACATATGTCCCACATCTCCTTTTATTTATCTTAGGGAGCTACCATTTGATTTTTATGGGGGGACTAGGATGAAATTTGAAAAAAAAGGCAGGACAGTTTTGAGTAAAAAAAAAGGCAGGATGAGCAACTTGGCAAAAAAAAAAAGGCAGGATGACAATTTATAAACTAAAAGGATAAACTAATAAAAAAAAGGCAGAACCGAACAAGAGTGAAAAATAAAAATGCATGACAGAGATTACAACTAAAAAAAATGCAGGACAAAATTTTTCATCCTAGCCTCCTCCCCCCCCCCCCCCCCCCCCCAATAAAAATCATACGGTAGCTCCCCTAGATTGCATCTTTTCTTGGCCTTTGAAGATTTTTTTTCATGTATTATAGCATGACACCAGAAATTTTAACCTCTGCAAAACTTCTGAGCAAAAAATTGTCACTCACAATACAAGGAACTGCAAAACTCAAACTCTCATTTTGTTGTCATAATGTAATGTATCTGCAAGTTTCAGTAATCGGTAATCCTTTTTAAAATTTATACCTGGGAACAGAATCAAGTGTATTATTTAAATAAGTTGTCAACTTCCATGGTAACAAAACATGAGTTTCCAACCACAGCTAATTGTTCAAATATAAGCTGTGGTAACTGCATACTGAAAATAGCTATGGATATGGTCAAATTAATTAAAACCAAATATTGGAAGTGGACATGTGGATATGAAAAATTTATTAAACATGAAAAGTGGACAACTGCAATTCCTGAAGAAGAGTATGTGTAAGTTTCTGATCAACTTACAACACAGACCTCTATTCTAATGTTCACTAAAACTCTTTTACTTTATAAGCAGACTAAAGCTAAATTTTGACAAAGATGGTTATATCTAGAGCAGAATCTAGGATGGCTATGCTTCGTTGCAGCTTGACAAAAGTATCAGGATCCAAAAACTTGTTCTGGTCTTGCACATTAAATTCCTCTAGTTTACAAGTCTCAGGTTCTCTGAAAGTTATTGGAAAGTAATGATGTTATTTTGATTGAATATAATTTGGAATAAAATAAACGATAAAATGGCAGCAATTTTTTTAATTGTTACAAAATAATGGACATCTGATAGGGATTTTACAGCACATGCTAACTATTCTAATAAAAAAGCCAAAAGTCTATCCATCTCTTAATTGGGAATGCCATTTTGATGAACATTGTAGAATTTCTAGATGCTGAAAATGATCTCTTGTGAATTTTACTATAATGAAAGACATATTTTTAGTATTTTTCAAACTGTTTTTTTTGTTTAAATGATTCTCCAAAAAAAAACACTAGAATGTTATCTGAAACATCAAACACTTAAACAATTGTTACAGAAAATTATGAGACAAAGAGCATCTAAATATCATTTTCAATATCTGTCTACTTATATTCTAATTACTATATACTGTAGAAGACCTGTAGAATAATGAATTTCTCGTTGATCCTCCACGTCTCCTACAGATATTATACACGACGAGGTCATGTGTTTATGTACACTATGTAAAATATTCACATTCTATATGTACATGAATAATTTTATTGCATAAAACATACACTTTATATAACAGGCCACGTCTATCATACAATCAGGTATCTACAGAACAAGGGGGCTTTCCCTTATCACAATAAATAACAAAGCATGTACAGAGACAACGCCTAAATAAAGCATCCACATCCGTTACACTCCATTTTGCTTGGCGCCACACGTCATAACTACACATGAATTATGGGTAACTTTTTTTTTTATCAAAACTAAAAAATAACAAAAAATTCCTCCTTTTCTCCATTAAAGAGAAACTGGCTTTCTACCTTTTTTATATATGAACTTAAGACATCTTGCTTACCCTGTTTGTCAGAAATAAAATCATTAAAAAAATCAATAAAAGTTGCAAGCCCAGGGAAAATGAATTAAAGAAATTATACAAAGATAATGACTATTTCATAATGAATAACATTTAATCATTGAAGAACAAATATATAAACCCTTCACAACAAGTAAAACAAACCATATTTACAATCACAAGCATAACTTCTTGTTAAAACAATTTTTCCAGCTATACAAGTTTGGCAGTATATCAGAAAGTTACAATAAAAATAGCGAAGACAATTTTCATATTTATAATTCAAGTTTTCCCTAGAAACGCTGAAAAAGGATCTTTTTCTTTAAAGATTAGGACTATGAAAGTTAACACTAAGAACAGCAACTCCTCCAGAGAAACTAACACACAAGAACAATGGGATATAACACAGGAGTATTGCACTTTATAAACCTACCGACAAAAGAAATATCTTATGATATATTGGAGGTATATCGTTTTAGATGATTGTTTTCAAAAGCATGGAAGTTACCCACAATTCATTGTAATAAAGCAATATCACACATTTAATACCTTGTATATATCAACTTTTTCACATATGTTTAAGAGACTTATTAAGTTTTTATGTCCTGTGTTTACAAATGATCAAATACATTAACAGAATTGAAGAAGTGATTCCTTACCGCAGCCAGAACATTACATGACTATATATATAAACATCTATCCTAAATATTTATATTATTGTTCATAGTTTTGTATATACAAAGACATGTCTCTGTATCTTAAAGCACTATTAAGAAACTAAAAATAAATAAGCACTCTATTGCTGATATATGAGGAGAAATAAAAAGGATCCTGATTATGAGACCCTGACCAGCAGAGCCCTAAGTTTTTGTTCTAATTTCATTCTACTTGGAAGGGAATATTTAACACTGAATTGCCACCAGATTTATTATTTATATCTACACATGAACAATTAGCACCATGTAATGTTATGGTGCTATTTAGTAAAAAAATTATGACTATAATAAAATATTGCTAGATAATCACCTCCCCCCCTAACATTTCCAGCATCTGTCAACAGATTTTTTTTTCATATTTCTGCCACTTAAATTAAATATTTATTAATTTTCAGTCAAAATTGAGCATTTCTTCACCAGAAACAAAAAAGTTTTAATTTGCTTTCCCACTCAAATAAACAAACATCTAGCAATATTCTTTATGGCTTTAACATCACTATTACCTAATACACCGTTATATTTAAATGGACCAATATGAAATGATTAACTACAAGATTACAAATATTGTCCTATAAAGTATAAGTGATAAGTCCAATATCATTAATGCAGGGGGAAAATAAGTTAACGGCAAACATTTCACTTAATTTTCAACAAAACCATCCCAATTTGATACAACAAATATACAAGATAAGATAAAACAGAAGAGTGCATCATAAATATTGTCATATCTAAAGAAGTTTTTGTAATTCCTTTCAAATCTGTAATACACTTTAGTTTTTATTTGGATACAGAGAGGAAAGATATTCTGATGTAATCTGGTCATCACTAGAATCATCTGGACTTATTACATATTTTTGTTTATAAAGGGTTAGCCCTGTCACTACTGGCTGTTGGCTGGTATAATGTAGCCAAGGAAAGTCTGACGTTCATTCTTCACTCTCTCAACAAGTCAATGATATATTTAGCAAAATGGTTGCATCACAGATGTCTGGATTGCCAAAATTCATAACACAGCTCCTAAATTGATGTGGTTTTAAGACTTCTTCTTTCCTTTACTATTTACTTCTATTTTCTCTAATTTCTTCCATAGTTCCTCTCTATCTTTTTCTTTCTTCTTTTCTCTGGAAAGATATAGTTGTTTGAAATTAGCAAAATCATACTGTATTGTCAAAATAATTAGCCATTTATGTAGCAAATCAAGCAAAACTGGTAAAAGAAACTACTTGTATAAAAGAATAACATTGTTAAACTGATAAAAATGATGACAACGAGAAATAGCTCGCCCAAGGGTCTAGAAACGTTCATATTTGCTGGTCATGACTGATTTGAAGATTTGCTAAGATCAGACTTTTTTAACACCCCTTTTGTCCTACATTGCATGTTTTTATTTATCAATCACTAAGTTCTCTTTGCCATGTTTTTCAGGTAATGAATCTGCCACTTTGTATTGTATGATAATCCCCATTTACTGTTTAATGACTCCTGAGATATCAGGCTTATGATCACAAATCATTTAAACTTTGCCTGGCAAGGGCAGCTAACTTAGAAAATTTAGTTAAATAAAAGAATGTAATGTTAAGAATCTAATGTTTTTATGTAGCATAAAAACTAGTAGTGACCCTGTTTTTTTCTTCCTATTATTCAGAAGAATGTTAAATAAGCTTTCGGTTAAAATAATAAAAAAATTTATAATTATGTCATAATGCTTTTCCTGCAAAATCTGTACAAAATGTGCTCTTGTTCACGCCTCTAGCTTCAAAACAAGTACAGTAAACTATAATTTCATCAATTTATTAAAGAAAAAGAACAATGTCAACTAAGAATTATTTAAGATAATTTGTGAAATTTAAAAGTTGTGCTTAATTACTTTATATAAATCTAGCTTTCTTGACTTTTCCTGATAAGTTTTACACACAATAACTTGATAACTACCTTTCTGAACTTTAATAGGGTTTTCGATTTTTTATTTCTAACATATTAATAAACTTACTTCTGTCGTTCAGATTTGTAATTCGATGTTAACTCATCAAATAATTTACTATTCATTTCCATAAAGGTTTTGAGGACATTATAGACAAGTGCTACAATGGTTTGGTTCCAATGCTCTTTGGAAATTTTGTATAATGCCGGGAACATAATTGGAAGCACTACATTGGAGTTTTCTTCTATCAGGGTCATGATGTAATCATTATTCCAGTAATACAATGCTCTCTCTGCGACCTAAAACAGAAAATTGTACCACGTTTATTAAATTGAAATCATTGTTTTATGTAAATGGGGATTGAACTAGTATTCAATTCAATTATATCATAAATATCAAATTCACAGACTTAATTTTCAGTTCTTAAAATAACCTGAACATTGCTGAATGTGAAATCAAAGAGTACACAATATTGTTAAGTCATTACAGGAAGATGTATCCAAGCTCTGCCATGTTTGTGAGACCACAATCCTCCCAAATTTAGGCTATTATCTCATTTAGCGTCTACCATGTTTACAATAATTAAGGCAGGGAATCTGGGTAGTATTTTAATCTTCAGAGTATTTAATTATCAATAAGACTGATCAAAAGAAGATGTAAAAAGTTCTTTTTTTATGTTATGTTTGAGCCCCCCCCCCCTCCCCCTAGTTAATGTTGATGTTGACATTAATTTTTTTTTATTAACCAGCAGATTTAGAAATTGTTTGGCAATCAGTTTTGTAATTCTTTAACATTGGGTTCCTAGAAGCTCTACAGATAATGATTGGAAGTATAAAAGACACTGTGACCTTCCTTACTATAAAGTAAGCATGTATACTTCTCAGTAATGGACAGCTGATTTTATATATTAATATCAAGCAAATTTAATATTCCTGGAATAGAATAATAGTCTGACTATTCTAAATAACAAAAGCTGTCACCTATTCAAAAAGCTGATTTAAAAGGTGCGAACGTACAAACTATTCAAACATATTTTCAAATTGACAACAATCTTAATCTTAAACTGAATTACTAAAAATGAGAAACAATTTACCTGAAAGTGTGGACTTGATACACATCTAGCTATCTGTCTGAACAGTTGCTCCATAACCTTTTGAAACTGGGTAGGCTCAATGACATCTAAAATTTCTTCTATTTCACTTAGGAACATCACCTGTAATATATTATATAATTTTATTGTCAGATAACAGCATATATATGTAACAACAGGATAACTTTAATCGTAACACTGGATAATTTTTTCCATATTTTTTTTATAAATCAAAACACAGTCTTTCTATTTTTTAAAAATTTTAGTTCATTTATATGTTTTGGAGTTTAGTATGACGTCCATTTTCATTGAACTAATCCACATTTTTGTTTAGGGGCCAGCTGAAGCCCGACTCTGGGTGCGGGATTTTTTTGCTGTGTTGAAGACCCATTGGTGGCCTTCGGCTGTTTTCTGCTCTTTGGTCAGGTTATTTTCTTTTTGACATATTCCCCATTCCATTCTCAATTTTATTTCTTTGTATTTTTTTGGGGTGACAGGTTTGTATAATAGAAATTTATAACAAGGGCACAGCCGATCAGAAAATCACCTCATTAACACATATAATTTACAACAGACATCATAGTTATCATTCATACCAAGTAAGATATAAAATATGAACATACAAGTTAGTCTGTATAGGTTCACAGAGTTTTGAACAGGTAAATGGTAACTGGGTGCTAAATTTCAGAATATTTCTCATCAGGAGATTTTTAAAAAGCTTTAACTATCTAATTAAACATACCTCTTTCTGACTACAAGTTTTTGGCCAGAACTTCAACAATCCTTTGATAACCTTAAAAAAAAGTCAGATTCATGTATATGAAGAATGTAAACGGCTTCCTCCCTAAATAAATAAATAAGTACATAAAGTCTTAGCTTTATTTCAAGATATTTATACACCTACTATGAAATAGGCATTGCCTAAATAATAATCTATGAAAATAAGTACATTACCAATAAACAAACTGTTCATAGACCTTCAGACCATTATTGCTTATTATCAAGTACAGTTTGAACCTTAAATGTTAAACATAGTTCAACAGAAAGTTATACAAATTTTTGGCATACTTTTCTTGCTGACAATTTAAAAATGCATTTTTTCAATTGTATTTGGAAGAAAAATTTCAAGAATCTATTATCTTGGTCTGGTATCTCTGCAAGGGCTTTCCTTCGCCATATTGCAATACTGAACCAGACACTGCAACTGCTCGATAACAAAACTATAACAAAATTACTAAATTATCCAATCAGGAATTGTTGCAATGTATTATCATAAATTAGTTTATAATAAAAGACAAACCTCCTCAGTTAAAGTAGCATCTTTTTCTAGAAACTGTACAACACAATAAGCAAGCTGAAATTATAAAAGAAAATTAAGATATTCATACAAGGATGATGATGATGGATGGTTGCTTGACGTCCAGCGGCAAATTAGTATGCATATTCAGGACGAGAACATGTTAATATAATATGAATATTAACCCTGCTCTGAACAAGACCGACAAGCTGAGCCAAATTTTTAACCTGCTAGTTCACAAGATAAAAATCCGCAGGAAGACATGTCACCTTACACAGAAACATTATTTTGACTCGGAGACGACCAGTTTTTGCTTTTACTCCTTAGTGATGTGTGCTTAGCAGAGCAGCAGCAAATTACAATTTTAGTCTGGTTTGACCCATCCTGGGTTCGAACCGACGACCTCCTGCACTCCAGGCGAACACGCTACGAGACCACCGAGGAAGTTTTCATACAAAGAAGAATACCTGGTGAATGTCAAATACTTTATATGGCTGGATATAAATTCAAAGAAATTTGTAAATATGATTTGACAAAACATTATACTTGACCACAAACCACACTTGCCATTTTTTTTTTTAAAGTTAAATCAAACTGTCTCATACTAACATTTATATAAACTGCATAAGAAAATTTCTACAATACATGTACATATATATGCATCATTAACAAAGCTATCATATAATATTATCACCAATTATGATTATAATTTTTTCTAGATACATGTACATGTATATCTGTGATTCTTATGTAATTATCACCTAGTGCACACAATTTTTTTGCAGGTCAGGAATAAATACTATTATAATTTCACCACTTAAAATAAGAAGTGTAAGTGTTCTATAAATTCAGCCTTTCTCATACCCTTTCATCCACATTCTTTATATAAATTATAGCAGCTTTGTTTTCTGTTGCATCAGATGTCTTTGCAACTTATAAACAGTCTCATGTATATTGTCCAATACTGTAAATTCAGAAATTAGTGCGAGATTTTTATTAATGCGAATAATGCGACTGTGTGAGTATCGCAATAATAAGAACTTGCATTTTGATATCTGAAACATACATCTGTATGGAGATTTTCCTGAAATCGCAATATTTTTGCATTTTTGTCCATTCTTAAATAAAATGCTCCGCAGGGCGCAGCTTGATACGACCGCAGAGGTCGAACCCTGAACAGTTGGGGGAAGTATGGACACAACATTCAAGCTTGATACAGCTTTGGATTTGGATTGTGATTAAATATTTGACACAGCATAGGTTTCTAACACAGATTGAATGTGGTCTAAGAACTTAAAAATTTTAAATTGGACATTCACCTATTATGGTCCAATATCCAAAATCTAAATACATGGTTAGATTCAGCATATCAAAGAACCCCAAGAATTCAATTTTTGATGAAATCAAACAAAGTTTAATTTTGGACCCTTTTGACCTCAATGTGGACAAAGTTGATAACGGGGCCCAAAAATCAAAAATCTAAATACATGGTTAGATTCAGCATATCAAAGAACCCCATATATTCAATTTTTGTTGAAATCAAACAAAGTTTAATTTTGGACCCCGATTTGGACCAACTTGAAAACTGGGCCCATAATCAAAAATCTAAATACATGTTTAGATTCAGCATATCAAAGAACCCTAAGAATTCAATTTTTGTTAAAATCAAACTAAGTTTAATTTTGGACCCTTTGGACCTTAATGTAGACCAATTTGAAAACGGAACCAAAAATTAAGAATCTAAATACACGGTTAGATTCGGCATATCAAAGAACCCCAAGAATTCAATTTTTGATGAAATCAAACAAAGTTTAATTTTGGACCCTTTTGACCTCAATGTGGACAAAGTTGATAACGGGGCCCAAAAATCAAAAATCTAAATACATGGTTAGATTCAGCATATCAAAGAACCCCATATATTCAATTTTTGTTGAAATCAAACAAAGTTTAATTTTGGACCCCGATTTGGACCAACTTGAAAAATGGGCCCATAATCAAAAATCTAAATACATGTTTAGATTCAGCATATCAAAGAACCCTAAGAATTCAATTTTTGTTAAAATCAAACTAAGTTTAATTTTGGACCCTTTGGACCTTAATGTAGACCAATTTGAAAACGGAACCAAAATTTAAGAATCTAAATACACAGTTAGATTCGGCATATCAAAGAACCCAAATAATTCAATTTTTGATGAAATCAAACAAAGTTTAATTTTGGACCCTTTGGACCTCAATGTGGACCAATTTAAAAACGGGGCCCAAAATCCAAAAACTAAATACACGGTTAGATTCAGCATATTAAAGAACCCCATGAAATCAAGAATAAAACCCCATTGAAATTGGTCAAGAAATAAGCAATTTATAGGAAGTATCTTCTTTTGCACAATCCTGTGCTATTAAATATTTCTTGCTATTGCGCAATACTGTACAATTGACAATTTCTTGCTATTGCGCAATATTGTGCTATTGGATATTTCTTGCTATTGCGCAATACTGTGCAATTGAAGATTTCTTGCTATTGCGCAATACTGTGCAATTGAAGATTTCTTGCTATTGTGCAATACTGTGCAATTGAAAATTTCTTGCTATTGCACAATACTTATTATATAATAATTTACACATCCTGTTTGGTGTGTATCTCCTACCATATCATTTTTATTTGATTTTAATATAAATCAGAAATAACCAACTTAAAATGGAATATTTTAAAAGAAACAAAAAAGGAAAAAAATAAAAAAAAGGAAAAAAAAATAAATCCCCCCCCAAAATTTTTTGAACCCCCATTATGATTCATCACCCCCAAACTCAATCCCAGCCTTCCCTTTGTGGTATGGTACCTTGCAGTACAATTTCAGAGAGATCCATACACTTGAACACAAGTTATTGTCTGGAAACTAGAAAAAAATGTGTTTTTTGGCCCCTTTTTGGCCCCAAATTCCTAAACGTTTAGGGCAATTACCCCCAAACTCAAACCCAGCTTTCCCTTTGTGATATGGAACCTTGTAGTACAATTTCAGAAAGATCCATACACTTACACACAAGTTATTGTCATGAAACTAGAAAAATGCTTGTTTTTTGCCCCTTTTTTGGCCCCTAATTCCTAAAATTTGGAGGCAATTACCCCCAAAATCAATCCCAGCATTCCTTTAGTGATATGGAACCTTGTGGTACAATGTCAGAGAGATCCATACACTAACACACAAGTTATGTCTGGAAGTTACAAAAATGCTTATTTTTGGCCCCTAATTCCTTTACTGTTATTACCATAACCCCCAAAATCAATCCCAACCTTCCTTTTGTGGTATTGAACCTTGTGGTAAAATTTCATAAAGATCCATTAACTTAAACTAAAGTTAGAGTGCGAAAACCAATGTGTCTTCGGACGACGCTGGACGACGCCGGACGACGACGACGCCGGACGACGACGACGCCAACGTCATACCAATATACGACCACAAAAATTTTTTTGCGGTCGTATAAAAATCGCAATAATTTCTGAATTTACAGTATTTGTTTCAAACAAAGACAAAACTTATCTATGACACATACCTGAGCATGATACATGTTTAGAGTCTTAATCTTATGTAATGGTATTAAAACTTTCAGTAGAAACTGCTTGTGTTCAGTCTTCAGTGGCAGAGCAAACCCATTTATAATGCTGAAAATATAGGATATAAATATGATGAGACCTACCTAAGCCTATTACATATCTTAAGTTTTAGCTTAATGTTATATTATGAGGACTTTCACTAAAAACTGCTTGTGCTCAGCATTTCATGACAAAACCAATTCCATTATAGATTTGTAAAGTCGAAAATACAGAATAATCTGCAGTGAACATTTTTGACTTCACTTGCAGCAGTGTTTTCTTTTTATATTCTCTAAACAAGATTCAATTGAATTTCTGCTAACACAAGAGATATCAGTCAGCAAGCAATAGGCCATTGGAAGTTAATCAAGAAACAATATATAAATCAACAAGTAATGTTATCTGATTTTAAACTGTATGTTTGTTGTCACCATCATCTTAGTTTGTTTTTAAATGTATAAATTAATTTCCTGTTGCTCTGTCATTAGTTTTCTTAGTTGTGTTTTTTTAGTTGCCTCAAAATAAATACATGGAAATTTTAAAACACGGATCCGTGGTTTTTATTACAGTAAATCATGTGCATGTAAATATGTGACTATTGTAATCTTTTCCAGGTGGTGTATGTTGAATCCTTTAGACTTAGTCGTGTTTCCTATAATAACACTTTTAAAACATTAATGACATAGTTATGAGGTATCTCAGAGACAGCAAACTTGCTGTTCAATAACCAGTCAATAAGTGTATGATATTACACTGCTATTTTGAAACTTATTGAAAGTCCTGTGTTTATGTCAACGCTCCTTAACTGTATTACAGGGTTGTAGAGGTTATCAATAGTCATTTCCTAACAAAAACTGCCATATACCTCCTCAGAATGTAAACAATCCAATGGGTATTGAAAATTGTTTATCAGAATTCAGTATTTGTAGAAAACTATTTGTAATTGACTATCTCGGAAAAATTAAGACTTCCCGTCTTCAAAATAAATACTAATTCTAGCCTTTACTGACCTGCCTAATATTTCTAGTAACTCTCCAACTCCATTAAATTGCTCTGTTTCATATATAAACCTGGAAAAAAACAAACTTTAAGTAAAAAACCTAATGTCTAAAGACAATGAAAATATGTCTTGTCTACTTTAGCGCTAATTATTAACACCTGCATTGTTGTACAAAAAATTTTGTGGAGGGACAAAGACAACCTAACTGAGGAGGTTCCAAAGAAAGCTTTAGTTATCATCTAATAACTGTGTTGTTTTTAGCAATTTTAGTAAAAAAAATTAAATGTTTTACTGACAACTAGACTTGCACGGAATCATTGGCAACTATAAATGATTATTCAAGCTTAAACCAAAATATCTTTAATTTACCATGCCTAAACAAATTTTTCTAGACTTAACGTGTCAGGGGTAGAACCTGGTAACTTCTAAATTTTAATTTTTTTCACGTTTACACCATGGAAGGGGTGGGAGTCCATATAAGGGGTACCCTTAAAACAAGTCAAATACACTAATAAGCTTACATTGTAAAGTGATTTTGAACATGTCCCCATATGAATAGCTGCAATTTTCATGGAATTTGTCGTTTTGAAATTCACAAAATCATAGAATTTGTTTCTTCTAAAGCTACATGTACTACAGTTTGTCTTGCAGTATTTTTCACATGGGTAAATTTTTATTTAACAGCATAACAATTTAATGAATTTGATGGAGTGTGCAATATTCCAACACATGAAATAGGAGAAAATGTCCTTTAATACTGTGAATGCTTAAATGCATTATTGCACATCATCTTCCAAAAATAATGTGAAATCAATAAATGCCATTCTTATATGACACAATATAATATTAAAATGTACTAGCAACAATTTAAATATATTAAGAAGTGATTAAAATAACCATGATTTCATTAATAAATAATCACAATTATTCCTGATTTTATAAAGTATTTATACACAAAATATATATATATATATGTCGTAGAAGTGAGAAGTGAAAAGTACAGGTTCCAGCCCTGCTCGGGGGAGGAAGTATAGAATTAGATCTACTGTTACACTGCTAGGTTGATTTTCTAGGCACTTTAGTATATATATATATCACTTACGTAACCAAATTTGCATAGATTATGATGGTTGAGATATTGTGTTTAATATGAATTTTATTTCAAATATCAACATTTAATCTTAAAAACTTTTTCATTAACACATCTAAACAGGAAACATAGCAACTATTTCACCTCAAGTATAAACCAACTTAACATTTGGGATTTTATTTCTATTTCCATTTATTTATTTTTATACCAGCTTTTTTATATCTTCAAACAGGCAAAATGCCATGACCATCAATTTGGTGAGTTCCCTTCTTTGATTGTGCTAATAGCCAGTTGTTCGTACGTTTTGACCACAACATTAAGCAGGTGCCGTTTCTACCTTTGACCTTTCCCACAATTTTACCCACTGGTGTCCTTTTCTATATATACTGCATACATTTCAGATTGTGTTTATTTTGAAGTACACAACAGAAAAAAATAAGTTTGACATTAAAAACGTGACAATATCTATAAAAGGTCAAAATTACCTGAGAAATATGTTATTAATTTGTTTTCTTATAAAAGCTCTTAGTCCAAGAAATTTCCCGTAAATTCTATGCAATACAGTTTTGAGGAAATCTCTTTCTCTAGGATCTTCACTATCAAATAGCTCCAACAACTGAAATTAAAATTAACATATTAATTTATCAGATATCAAAAAGACTGTCACATTTTAACTGATTATGTCTCATGTATGATGTAATATATAATTGTAGTTGTAGGATGTTGATTTCAATATAACCCATCACTAACCAAATGTGAATGCATAAAAAAAGCAGCATTTATCAATGTTTATAGGACATTTTCTAAATTTATTCTCAAAATACAACTGACTACATGTATTTGTCAATCCCTTTTAATAGAGTACTGTTTCCCTGCAATTAAGTCTCAATATTTAAGTTTTCTTTCTTTTCTTGGTTTATAAGTAAGCTGGCATGGAATATCTGGCATATATATGATATATAAATGATTCTTTTTTATTACTCTTAACTAGAAAAATTCTGTGAGCAGAGCTCTGCCCTTCTAATTGTATAGGAATGGCAAAACCTATGTTTTGCTATGAACAGCCAGATATCATATAGATAATGTCACAAAGCTTTTTCTATGATGACATTTCCTTATCTTGTCCATTTTTTAAAGTACCAAGTATCCATTTGAATGACTCAGATATTAAACTACGATATAAAAGTGCCAAGCTCCATATACTGGAAAGTAAATAATATTTATCAACAGTTTTGTAATGTTCAAATATGAGCTGCTGAAAGGAAAATATGGAATAATCCAAAACATAACGGAATCATGGAGTTGCTGACAAAAGTCATTCCAACAAGACAGTGATTACTGTATCATGCAGCTGTAACTTACTCTGAATAAGAAACCCCTAATAATGATTGCCAATAGAAAACAGTGGATTTACTGTGATTATTGAATAACGTTTCATTTTGAAGGTTTTGATATTCATGTATAAATCATAAAAGATTTCACATCTAAAAGTACAAATGTAGGATTAGTTAGTTAATCCTAAGCTGTGAAACATGTTTATTTGGAATTTTGTATCAATGAATAAAAATAGTATAGCCAAGAGAGAACATTAAGTACGATTCATGTCAAACTTACCTGTAAAACAAATTTTTGATCAATATATTTCTTAGCAAGACTCGGTTGGAAATCAGGAGATTCTAAAAACCGCAGGAAAAATTCATAAACAATCTGCAATGAAAAATAATGAAAACATGTAAAAATCAAAGCACAGTTGATCTGGAAAGGCAGTTTCTATCTTAAAAATATTCCAGAACCCTGTGTCTCACTTGCAACTGCTGCTGCCAGTGTACTATTTAAAAACAAGACTACATATAGAAGGTTAAATAGATCTGCAAATGAAATCTTGTCCTGGTCAACGTCACTTTAGTCTCTAGATCATTTGAACATGTTAGTTTCTTTGAATAGTAATGAATCATAGCTTTTCTAGCAAATGTCAAGGTGTGGTGAAAGGACCCATTCCCAATCAGAATTAAATGAAAATCATGTAAACTTCCCTACAATATAAACTTTCCCAAATGAATGAATTTTTGTATAAAAAAAATCTCAAAATTGTATTACCAGGATAATTTTCACTGCATTTCCTAAATCAAATTCTCATTCAAACATATGAGGAAATCGTATATGAAACACTTTTGTTGTCCTGTTAACAGATATTAGAATTAACGTCATTCTTTCTTCTGTTTATTTCTAACTTAGTTGACACTGAAAAAAGTTCAAGTATCGGTTTTTCAGTTGGTTGAATTGAAAGAAAATAAATTTAACAATGTCAATGAGAATCTTTTTGAGCTCCGAATTTTCAAGCGTCAGATGTCTTTGTAAAGTTCTTCTTATATGTACAGGAAAGTATTTCACATATATATACAGGTACATTAGTTTAAAATTGAAGATATAATCATATGATATAAAAGATCTGTGCATAATAAAATAACAAAATTTTAATGCGAAAATGTTGCATGTTTCAATCATTGTTGAACAGGCTTTTCAAGTCTGTCCGGCCTTCATCTATACTTTTCTGATTTAACAGATGAAAACCATAAAATCATGTCTCACTACAAATTAGTCAACTCTTCACAATAATAAACTGCTTCGCCTAGCACAGCTGGATACGACCACAGAGGTCCAACCCTGAACAGTTAGGGCAAAAATGGACACAATATTCAAGCTTGATACAGGTCTGAATTTGGATTGTAATTGAATATTTGACACATTATAGATTTCTGACACAGAATAAATGTAGTCAAAGAACTTGAAATTGGTTTTATGATTTGAATTTATATTCAATTGAAGATTTCTTGCTTTTGTGCAATACACTGTGCTGTTGCGCAATACTCAGACTATATACAAAGAATTAGCAAAATAAATTGTGACCCCCAATTTTTCTTTGGAAAATTGACAATTTCTTAAATTTTGAGGGAAAAATGCCCCCCCCCCCCCCTTTAAAAAAAAAACATTTGAAGAAATTTTCAATTTGTAAAATGTGGTACAATTTAAGAACAAGAGGCTCTCAAGAGCCTGAATCGCTCACCTGTATTTCAGAGGAGAAGATTTTTAAATGTTAGCAAACTTGATGAACAAATTGTGTAAAATTGTCTTTAAAGGGCAATAACTCCTTAAGGGGTCAATTGACAATTATGGTCATATTAACTTTTTTGTAGATCTTACTTTGCTGAACATTATTGCTGCTTACAGTTTATATTTATCTATAATAATATTCAAAATAATAACAAAAAACTGCAAAATTTTGTTAAAACTACCAATTCCGTGGCAGCAACCCAACAATGGGTTGTTCGATTCGTCTGATAATTTCAGAGCTGATAGATCTTGACCAATTGAACAATTTTACCCCATGCCAGATTTGTTCTAAAAGCTTTAGTTTTTGAGATATAAGCCAATTGCATTTGACCCTTATGTTCTATTTTTAGCCATGGCGGCCATGTTTGTCGATGGATCAAAACTTCTGATACAATTTATAAACTAGATACCCTAAGGAACATTCAGTTAAAGTTTGAAGGTATTTGGCCCAGTAGTTTCAGAGGAGAAGATTTTTTAAATAGTTTACGACGACAGACGACAACAGACAACGGATGACGACGGACGCCAAGTGATGGCATAAGCTCACATGGGGCCCATTGGGCCCCGGTGAGCTAAAAATCGATACACTTAAACACAAGTTATTGCCTGAAAATTAAAATAAAATAACTGAAGAACGGTAAAAGTGACGCTACCCAAATTTGAACTTGATCTGAGTTTTGTGGTAATAAGCATTTTGTGTAAGTCTCATAACATTTGGTTGAGGCTAACTTAAGTAGAGAACAGAAACTAAAAATTCAGCAATTTTTCTATTTGTAAACACGCATAACTCTAGAACGGTTGTGTATAAGTTTTACAACATTTGGTTGAGACAAACTAAAAAATTCAGCAATTTTTATGTTTATAAAGGGACATAACTCTAGAATGGTAAAAGTGTTGCCACCTAATTTCGTACTTAATCTGTATTATGTAGTAATAAGCATTGTGTATAAGTTTCATAACATTTGGTTGAGGCAAACTCAAGTTAGAGAACTGAAACAAAAAAATTGTACTTGATCCTTACTGAGTTTTGTGGTAATGAATATTGTGTATAGGTTTCATAATGTTTGGCTGGGGAAAACTTCAGTTACAGAATGGAAACTAAAAAATTTTGCAATCTTTCTATTTATAAAGGGGCATAACTCAATAATGATTAAAGTGACACTACCCAAATTCAACTTGATCTGTGTTTTATCAGTGGAAGTCAAAATTAAACATTGCATTGTATAAAGCATTGATTGTAGTTGATTCAACTATAATCATGGTCAAAGGAAGATAACTCCAATTTTAAAAATATATTATATAAACTTGATATTTAGAAGAAAATAAAAATTTTGCAATTTTTCCTTTTATAAAGGGGCATAACTCTAGATCGGTTAAAGTGACACCACCAAAATTCAAACTTGATCTGTGTTTTGTGGTAATAAGCATTGTGTATAAGTTTCATAACATTTGGTTGAGGCAAACTTAAGTTAGAGAACGGAAACTAAAATTTTTGCAATATTTCCTTTTATAAAGGGGCATAACTCTAGATCGGTTAAAGTGACGCCACCAAAATTCAAACTTGATCTGTGTTTTGTGGTAATAAGCATTGTGTATGAGTTTCATAACATTTGGTTGAGGAAAACTCAAGTCAGAGAACGGAAACCAATTTCGGGAAGTACGGACGTACGTACGTACAGACGGACAAGGGTAAAACTTAATGCCCCCTCCACTATGATGGGGGCATAAAAATGCTTGTTTTAGACCCTTTTTGGCCCTAATTCCTGGACGGTTTGAGCAACTACCCCCAAAATGAATCCCAACCTTTTACTTGTGGTATTGTACCTTGTTGTACAATTTCAGAGCAATCACAATACTTATACACAAGATATTGTCCTGAAACTAGAAAAATGTTTGTTTTTGGCCCCTTTTGGGCCCCTAATTCCTAAACGGTTGTGACCATCACCCCCAAAAACAATCCCAACCTTCCTTTTGTGGTATTGAACCTTTTGATTAAATTTCATAGAGATCCATACACTTAAACTAAAGTTATTGTCTGGAAACTGGAAACCAAATGTCTTCGGACGACGACGACATGATAGCATTATACGACCCCAAAATTTTTTTGCTGTCGTATAAAAACTAGAGACTCTAAAGAGCCTGTGTCGCTCACCTTGGTCTATGTGCATATTCAACAAAGGACACTTTCCAACATTGTAGATGAGAATAGAATTCATGACAAAAAACTCTGTTTTGTTGATCTTGGATTGCTGATCATTTAGTCTGTTTATTTTCTCTCTATCTTCTTTAGTTTTTGCTCAAAACACAAAAGAGGGTAAAAAAAAATCCTCATTTAAGGGCAATCACTCCTATGACAGTCTAATAACTATAGTGGCTTGTTAGTAGATCTTTCCTTGCTGATCATTTTTGTGATTTAAAGTGTCTATTTATCTACCACAATTTTTATCATATAAGGCAAAACGCAAAAAAAAAAATGGTAACAATCATCATTAAAGGGCAATAACTCCAATAAGGAGTCGTCAGACAATTTCCTCCAGCTTGTTTAAATTGTAGATCTTGTCTTGCTGATCATTTTTTCTAATTTAAGTTTCTATCTATCTATTATAATTTATCAGATACATGCATATATGTATAAGGAAAAAAAGCAAAAAAGAGGTAAACATCGTCATCAAAGGACAATAACTCTAATAAGGAGTCGACTGACAATTTTGACCATGCAGACTTATTTGTAGAACTTGTTTTGCTGATCATTTTTGCAGTTTGAAGTTTCTCCCTATCTATTCTAGTTTTCAAGATAATAGGCAAAAATGAAAAAAATGGTAAATATGTCATTTAAGGGCAATAACTCCTACAAGTAGTCGTCTTGACAATTTTGATTTATATGAACAATTGGTAGAGCTCAACATAAAGAACAGTTTTGCTCATGTCAAATTTTCTCTATTTATAACGGTTTTCAAAATAATAGACAAAGCTTGCATTTTACCCCTATGTTCTATTTTTAGCCATGTCGGCCATCTTGGTTGGCAGGCGGGGTCATTGGACAAATTTTTAAAACAAGATACCCCAATGATGATTGTGGCCAAATTTGGATAAAGTTTTAGAGGAGAAGATTTTGTAAAAGTTAATGACGACGACGGAAGTGATGAGAATAAAAATGAGGGTTGAGACCATAATTTTTTGTGTTATCCTTTTAACAATTTTATCAGTTTCCCATCGTAAAATGACAAATTAGTAAATCCAATGAAAATGTTGTTTTCAAGCCTAAATAAGTGAACTGTCTGTTGTATACAAGTCACCATTAGATGTCTAACAATGTTGCTGCAGAGTATCTTCTTACTTGCACTCATCATTGTTTATAAGATGATTTTAACATTACAAGTCATACCTGTAGGTGTGGCCAAGAGGCTTCTAAAGTAGGATCATCTTCTTCTGGATCAAAATCCGGATTATCATTGGGTGGTAACGTTCTGAATATGTTACATGCAATCTGAAAATTAGATTATCATAAAATTTCAGGATTTTGACCTGTTCTTAATACATTTGTAAAATTTAGAAATAAATGTGTACATGTACAAATGTATCAAACATATGCTTAATGTTTTGGTCAATGCAGTTTCACATAAACAAACAAAACCATCTTTGAAAATTAATTCTTTTTAAATTTACAGCAAATACAAATTGCTGGTGCACTAATTATAAACTTTAACTTCTAAATGGTACTTGCAAGCAATAGTGTTTCAAAGTTTACTCAGATCTTTACTTAATGTCTTTTTTGTTGAGAGATTCACTGCCATGTCTGGTCTGTGTTTTCGTTAGAGGTATTCTGCTTTGTATCTATCTGATGAGTTAAGCCCTTTTCAACTGATTTTTATAGTTTGTTCTTATGTTGTACTATTACACCACTGTCCCAGGTTAAAGGGAAGGTTTTGCATCAGCAAACTAGTTTAACCCTGCCACATTCTGAATGTGCCTGTCCCAAAGTCAGGAGCCTGTAGTTCAGTGGTTGTCTGTCATATTTGTTTTTCACAAATTGTTTTGTTATAAATTAGGCCGTTAGTTTTCTCAATTGAAATGTATCATATATATCATGTAAGGTCCTTTTACAGCTGACTATACCATATGGGTTTTCTCATTGTTGAAGGCCATAGGGTTGCCTATAATTGCTTATATCCACTTCTTTTGAACTTTGGTGGATAGTTGTCTCATTGGCAATCATACCACATCTCCTTATTTTTATATTGATAAAAAATTTCCTACACAAGATCTTGAACCTTGGAGGATGAATGCAATTCTATAAGGTTGATATTCTATATGTTCTAAGCAACTATCAACAGTACTCTGATTGAACATGTTGAATGACAGTTCATACTGATTCAATTAATGTGATAATTGATAATACTCCTTACAAAAAACAATAGAACTTTGGATATGATCTAAAAACTTAACTTGACTTATAGATTCATAACTGTCTGCAAGTAATGTAAAAATGAAAAAACTGCACATTTTTTTTAATACATGTACATGTGTATGTATTTTTTTTTTTATCAAATTCATTCAGCATCTAAATGTGTACATGTAAATTGTTGTTATTTCTATTTATACATGAAAGATTTGTTTAAAAATTGAGACAAACATCTTTATGCCTGACTGAGTTCATATGCAAACAACAGGTTGCTATTAGCATTGATTTTACAAATTCCTAAATAATCCCATTTCATTACTTCTATTGATTAAACATGAAATTGGTCATGATCTAAAGTAATTTATTTTACTACAAGCTCAAGGTAAATCACAGACAACTGCAATGGACTATTTTGTCTCATGTCTGTTTTCAATATTTGAATCTTTGTAAATCATGTCAATAGTCGTCTAATCGTAGTTAACTTTAAATCAAATGACAAAGATAATAGGTGAACAGTTTTCATCATGTACCAATTATTTTGTTCTGTTTGTCATGGAATTGAGATTTTTTACAGACTTTGTTACTTCCCTCCAGACCTAAATATGAGTAGTCAGCTGCTGTGAGATCCAACTGTTGCCAAGTATGATAGTTAAACAGTTGTTAAATACTCTATACTCTAAATAAGGAGAACTTTTTGTCACATTCATGTTAATCATTCTGATCATTTTCTCAATTTATCATTTTTTAAAAGTACTTGTACAAAAATGTATACTATTCTCATTTTTTATGTTAGAAATTTTGTTATCCTAAAGGCTCTAGTCACGACGTCTAATTTCATTTTTATATAATATTATTTGAGAACATGTTGTGTATTGTAATGCATTTTTGTTGTTGTGTTGTGTTGTATTGTTGTTTGGAATTTTTTCAGTTATATTTTGAAGATTTCTAAATTAAGTAGGGGGGGAGTGCAGACAAAAGTTTAAAATACATGTACTCTTCTGAATTAACAACCTTTACAAATGTACGCATTACTGTATGTCATTTGATAAAAGAAGATGTGGTATGAGTGCCAATGAGACAACTCTCTATCCAAGTCACAATTTATAAAAGTAAACCATTATAGGTCAAAGTACGGTCTTCAACACAGAGCCTTGGCTCACACCACACAGCAAGCTATAAAGGGTCCCAAAAATTACTAGTGTAAAACCATTCAAACGGGAAAACCAACGGTCTAATCTATATAAAAAACGAGAAACGAAAAACACTTATGAACCACATCAACAAACGACAACTACTGAACATCAGATTCCTGACTTAGGATAGGTGCAAACAACTGCAGCGGGTTTAAACATTTTAATGGTACCAGTGATTTTGCTAGCGCTCGTCATTTTCGTCATTTACGAAACAATTTTCAAAATGACGAAAGTATTCCCAATCAATTTCGTCACTTAAATTTGGAAAGAGTAAAAATATTTTCGCATGAAAGTTCTATAATTCTACCTGTCTTATTGTTTCTGACAAGTTTATGACCCTCAGCTAATTAACGTTAACAACAGGTGTTATAAGTTGTGATTACAGATAATCCGATTATCGCCATCGGATGGGTCATGCACTAATCCGTTAATTATTTATCAACCCCATAATTGATCATTATAATTATTTTCCCCAGTAAAATCAGTCAGTCGGCATTTCAATTTCAATATTTATCAAACGAGCACAATTTGCAGTTCATTTGTCGTAGTTTCGTCATTTGAGTTTTCCCTCTGACAGTTCGCATTTTAATTTCAATATTTCTCAAACGATCACAATTGGCAGTTCGCTTGTCGTAGTTTCGTCAAATGAACGCATTTTCGTCATATTTGATATAACTTTTAATCAAAACTTTCGATAATTTCGATTAAAAAGATAGAACTTTATTCATAACATTCAGAAATGTTTTCACAAGTCAAACATGTGCTTCCTTTACGATGAACTGCGCATGCGCGAAAGTATTCTTATGAATTTAAAGACACTAAAACGTAAAATACGAAATAATTAAGTAAGTGTCAAAGTAAACGAGAGAGACAAATAATGTTCTTATTTAGCAAATTGAATTTAAAAAAAATGATAATTTCCTGCCTTTTTTAAACACAAACCAATCCGTAGATGAATCCGGATTCATTCTGAATTTATTATCCACTTGTCACTTCCCGTTTTCCTTTCATTTGGAAATCGAAAGTACACGTGATCTATTCATGATAAATTTACAAATTAAAGTCATTTGAATTGTTCCAATAAGGATTTTTACAAATCCTTGGTTCCAACTTTATAGAATTAATTCTAAATATCGCGTTAAAACGTTTTTAAGGATAATGAGTATGAATAATGCAGTGAAATAGTCCTTACAAGTTCATTTATGCTGTGATTCCTGGTTTAAAAAAATGGATCCCAACTTTTGCTGATTAGGAATGTACCCTGAAACTAACTGAAGTGAAATTGTGAACTAGATTTCTAGATCTTATATCCTAATCTTCGTATTAAAGTGCCACATCAGTCAAATCATGCAGTAACTGCCTAGTATGCCTAAGTCCTTCAAAGTCTGACAAAGATGTATAGATAGTAATACACATTCTAGGTCCATTGCTACTACCCAAAATAAGGTTGATTTTCATCCCGCGCATAAGTGACTAAAGCCCTCATAATCCTAGCTTAAACCCTGATGGTACCAAACCTTCACCCTTATCTGAAACAATAGTGTAACATCACAACATAGAAAGACACACTATAAAATATCAATTGAAATGGCTTAACTCAATCAAAAGACATATTAACACAAGTGAACAAACACTGAACGAATAAATTTGATCTATGATACAATGTAAATACAAAATCAATAAAATAAGGGATGAATAATTAAAGTAACAGTATTATACCGCTGTGAAATGTTAAACAATTTCAGAAAAACAATAACCTTAAACAAAAATCCGCCATTTACAATATTATACACAGGTAAATGAAAATAATTTTGTTGTAAGGTATACAGTTTAAAAGGAGAAAGGAAATATTTTTACAAAATAAATAATTTTGATGTTCATAGTTCGAAGAAGTGAAAATTTATAGTAATACCAAACACTTATCAAAGCTGGTATATAGACTAGATATAACCCTGAATAAGTAAACATTAAATAACAATAAACTGCTCCGCTGAGCGCAGCTGGTTACGCCCGCAGAGGTCTAACCCTGAACAGTTGGGGCAAAAATGGACACAATATTCAAGCTTGATACAGGTCTGAATTTGGATTGTAATTAAATATTTGACATACATCTATTATAGGTTTCTGAATAAATGTAGTCAAAGAACTTGAAGTTGGTTATATGAATTGAATTTATATTCAATTAAAGATTTCTTGCTGTTGTGCAATACACTGTGCTGTTGCGCAATACTTAGTAAATCTGTTGTCGGACTATAAACAAAAAAAAATTATAAAATTCTAAAGGGAGCTTACATCAATAGATATAAACAGTTCACCAAAGTTTCATACCAATTGCTGAAAGCATTTTTGAGTTTTTGTCTGAAAACTGGAAAATCCCCCCTTTTTTAATGAATAAACCCCATAATTCGGAAATGTAAATCTAAAATTTATAAAATTCTAAAGGGAGCTTACATCAATAGATATCAACAATTCATCAAAGTTTCATGAGAACTGCTGAAAGCATTTTTGAGTTATTGTCCGAAAACTGGAAAATCCCCCTTTTTTTTATGAATAAAACCCCATAACTCAGAAACGTAAAATCTAAAATTTATAAAAATCCAAAGGGAGCTCATGTCAATAGATATAAACAATTAACCAAAATTTCTTGCAAGTTGGTGAAAGCATTCTTGAGTTTTTGTCCGAAAACTGGAAAATCCCCCTTTTTTTAATGAATAAAACCCCATAACTCGGAAACGTAAAATCTAAAATTTGTAAAAAACGAAAGGGAGCTCACGTCAATAGATATAAACAATTCACCAAAGTTTTAAGCAAATTGGTTAAAGCGTTTTTGAGTTAATGTCCGACATGTTGACGACGGACGGACAGACGGACGTACAACAGTACATTGTATACCATAATACGTCCCGTAAACGGGCGTATAAAAAAGCATTACAAATAGTATCAACAGGTCAAATTAACAAGAAAGTACGATTTGAGAGTACTCGCAATTAATAATTAAAAATCAAACATCAGAGACTAAAATCAACTAAAACACATCCCAGGGTTTTAGTATTTTAACGTCATGGACAGTCAAAGAAGACATGACTTGTGCAATGCCAAAAATAAATGTATCGACAGGCAGTGTATATGTGAAAAGGAATTCATTCCAAACACTAATAATTCTGAAAGTATTCATAACCAGCAAATGTTACATCAAATAACTGTATGCTGTTTTTGCGGTTTCTGAGGAGTTGTACATGTAGTGTGTAAAAAGAAGACCAAAATTTAATGATATAGATGCATGTCACTCAATTTACCATTCTAACAATTTCCGGATAGCATGGCTCTGTCAATACTCCTCTCGTGGCTGTTATATAGTCTACTAATTCATTAAGACATGCTCTTTTGACCTCTTTACTCTTTAAGTCTGATACTGGGTCCATAAAATCGAACACAACACAACACTGTTGAAGTTTTTTGATAAATAAATCTGACTGCTCTCCATGAGGTGTATCTAAAAATTAAATTGAGGCATATAAAATTTATCATTTTAAAACAAAATTGAGTTGTATAAAAATAAAAGCTATCTTTAAAAATCGGTGATTCAGCTAGACTTCATGAGCTTCGGCTCAATTTCTATTGTCATAAAAAATTCTTATAGACAATCATTAGAAAGTAAACCAAACTTTTAAAATTCCAAGGTTCTTCTGGACATTTACATGTAAAGAGAAAATTGGGCATATGTCATATGACAGGTTTCTAGCTGAATCACCGATATATTCAAGCTTATGGACTTCATTTGAAAATACATCGTAATGATACACCCTAGGTTGAATGCATCACACTTTTTAGTCTCATATCAATTTGAACGAATTTTAACTGATGCCAAAACAAGATTTTGACCCAGATATGAAACTTATTTATCACACATTCTACAAATGGAAATGCAATTCAATCCAATTTTCTATTTTCTTTGATTTTAGTTCTTATGCAGTGATCCCAAGATCTTCTGACCCTTGGCAAATTGGTCAAGAAGTCATTAGTATTCTGCAATTGCAATACATGTATTACCCTCCTCTACTTGAAACTGATAAGTATATTTAAGACGATTTTCATTTCTTTTTCTTGTCCTATTCTGCCACATATTTCAAAGATCAAAGTTAGCAGTTACAACAACTGATAGGTTGGTGAAAATATGTTTTGTACGTCCTAATATTTAATTTAAGGGTCAGTGGGGAAACCATAAACATATTTTTTGGCTCAATCAATTTTCATCGGTATTGATCTGACTTGATAGGAAACACTGCCATGATTACTGGTCCAACACCCATCTTTACCAGGACTTTTTCCAGTGTCCCACAACCCTTCAGAATGACTGAATACTAGTCTGTGCCATCAGTCTAACTGTCCTGACAGACAAATATGATGTATGACGGCCAAATCATTTGTTTGTATCTGTCCGATTGTATGCTAATGTACAAATGTATCAGTCAGGTTCAGGGACAATTTATAGGTAAACATGTGATGCCACACTTAACAGTTGTACTAAAGGAGTAGGTCCAGTAAGACCCCTTTTTGGCCCCAAAATATAGCAGTTTTACAAAATTGTTAAAATGTAAACTTTTAGCTATCTATTGGAAAGTAGAATACTTCTATTACATAAATATGATTTGTTTTTGACAATACAATGAACATATATCGGGTACTGGCATCATTAAGTCATGCTAAATTACTGAAATCTTCACAATTTTAGCATTAGAGTTAAATTTTAGACGGTTTCCGTCTTGAATGGAAGTGGCCGCATTTGTGTTCATTCTTAATATTTAAATGTAAGTTGTATTTGATGATAATACATAACATATATAAAAGTTGAGAGTGAACACGGATGCGACCACTTTCATTTTTGACAAAAACCATCTGAAAAGTGGCATATTATGGTATATTTGATAGATTTTTCATATTTAAGCTTGAATTGGAGCGTCTTTAATGACTAAATCAGTTCAAATCTTTCACATACACTAATTGAATCGACTGAAGTAGACACTTAAGTGTTTAAAAAGTGTCCAAAATCTTTCATCAGATGAATCTGAAATTTGAGGCCAAAATCGGCCCTTACCGGACCTACTCCTTTGTTTGATTATATATTTATCTGAATTCCGTTGCTGAAGTTCATTAAATGCAATTGCTATCTTCAATGGACCTAGTCCTAACTGGATTAACATTTAATCTACTGGAGACAGAAGTGTTATAAAACATTGTGGCAAAGCCCTTATAACAAATAAGAAGATAAAAAAATCATTTTGATACCCTCACAAGCAAGATGTGTATATGCAATTTGTCACACTAAATCATATTATTAGAACTACAAAAGTGAAAAAAAACATTAAATCAGTGTTGAATTAATGTAAACATTCCAATGCAAAGAGAAAATAAAATATTCTAGTTCAAATGTAACTAGTGAATCCATAGTTCTTGAAATATTTTTTTCCATGGTGGTCCTTGCAGAAAATTTGCTGGTCATCATTATTATTAATTTTCTATTGCAAAATACCAAAATTGTGTCAGTCCTTTGAAAACTTAGGTGCCACCACTTGAACTTTGATGAAGCTTTGCTATCTATATATAAACATATTTCAAAATATTGGTGTTTATAAAAATTAAATAAAATCAACAACTAATTAAATAAACACAGAAAACATAGACTCATCTATGTTTATATATCAAGCACATGCATAAAGAAAACAATGTAGATGTATTGGAGCTATTTAAAAAATTCAAATTAGGGATGAACATGTATTATTATTAAGATTGAATTTGGATTTATGTTGGAGCACATTTTTAGCATCTTTTCTTTATCAAAAGTTGCTTCTGTTGAGGAAACAAAATAAACAACACAAGATTTGACACACCTCATCTTTGGAATAACATGGGAGATAATCCAATATCAATGTAACATGACAGATGTAAATTGCATGCAAATATGCATGTGTCTAATAAAATATCTCACTGACACAATAGCATGAAGATTATATGGTTTACATCTGTAATAATACAAACAGAAACAAACAAACTGCTAAAGATGTCCTGCATATCATTTAGCACATTTGACCAAAAAAGGTCAAATTTTGTTTACACTACAATATCTTAATTTACTATCATTAATTCGAATTTAAAAGTAATTCTTTGATACAGTTGTGACTTATTAAACGTCCTGACATTGAAATGCAATAATTTCGACGTGCTCCTTACCTTTTAAATGCGGCAAAGCCTGCAATTCTGGTGCATTTTTTGTTCGGTAATGAGATGAACCCTGTGAACGTTTTTGCTTTTTCGACTTTATTGAGGCTTTACTTGTAAAAGGATCGATACGATCTACCACGGCTCTTGAAGACATGGTTCTTAGGCCTCAATATATACAAAATAGTTTTCTAAACACAAACGGAAATGGAATACAGAATAATTTTGTCAGAACATCATGGCTTCTTTCGAATGCATTTCTTGCCAAAATCCGTGGTTACACACAATATAAATATCACACACTTCCTAGGAGTTTCTTGAAGTCTTCAATTTTTAAATATGCCAATATAAACATAAACAATGAAAAATCCATCCATTAATAAACAAAAGGTTAATGAAAACACATAAAATATCGGGTAATAAATAGGTTGCTAGTTCAGTTGTGCAGGTTTACTCAACTCTCGTCATGTGATACTTAAAATGAGACATTACGAGAATAACCTGCTGTGTGGGAAAATTTGAAAGGGTGATTTTGACACTTTGGTTCTGGCGCATCAGATATCTTCAGCAGTTTTTACTGTTTGAAATTGGGTCTAATTAAATTTATTAACCTAATCACAGTCGGTTGGGACATTGACAACCTTTCATTATATATTTATGCGTGATCGTAGATCAGAGATAATTACTATCATCAGAGACATATATATAGCTATCATATAGGGCAGAGACATATACATATGTGTATATATATCGTATATATGTCTCTGCATAGGGCCTTTAGAATTATATATAGGCTATACTAGAGGGTAGGAATGCCCTTTACCGTCAGGCGTCAAACGGTCGTTTTCGGCTACCGTTAGCGTCAAATTGGTTAAAAATTTATCATGAATGATTCGTCGAAATATCCTTCTCGTCATTCGCGACGGGGGTCGTAGGGGTCCTGATCCCGAAATCCCGGGCTTAAAAACATGAAATCCCGAGGTCCCGAATTAAAAGAAATGTAAATCCCGACATCCCGAAATTCGAAAAAAAGAATTCCCGGATCCCGAAAGGATAAATCCCGAAATCCCGAGCTTAAAAACACCCGATCCCGGAGTCCCGATAAAGGTCCGACCCCCCCCCCCCCCCCCCTCATTCGTCAGAGGTCTCAAATAATTATCCGTTATCGTCTTAAAGAAAATATACATTTTATCGTCATGCACCAAAAATTACCGTGAGCGTCATTTGGCAAGATTTTTTACCGTCATTCGTCATGAAGGTACCCCATTACGACCCTCGTATTAGCAGGCCTGTATCATCCTGTATAGCAACTAGACCTACGTCTCTACAGGACTCTACAGAGACATATGATACATATAATCAAGGACTATGCAGGACATCAAAATAATAAGGAAAATATGTTGAAAAGAAGGAATTTATCTAAAATATATTTATGATCATTTATAACAAAAAAAAAATAGGGAAGTACCCAAAGCGACCGTTTGTTTGTATTCGTGGAAATGTCTTGTTGCAATGAGATTAAGATACGACAATGTAATCCTACATTCGCTCTAACCCAGTCAGGGTTACGAGCTTGCACCTTCACATGCAACCAAACAGATAAGGAGTGGATCACCGGCCCTTCAGACTTATTATGTTTAATCCGATTAATTAACAGTTCCAATCTATTTATCATTGTTTATGTTGAAAATTTCGATAAAGGAAATATCAGAATTCAACAAAATGTCATTTTTTGTGTATGAACCAACAATTCATTTAGATGAAGAACTGTCTGGGTCTGTAGGTGAGCTGGTGCAACGCAAAATCTAAGCCTTATCCAACATACCCTCATTGATTGATTTATTAATTGTTGGTTGCTTAAACGTCAAGTGGCAAATATTTCATGCATGCTTAGGCCGATCAACATACTCTCATTTCCCAGCGTCGACTCTTGCGGAACCTACCCATTTTTGTGTTGATTTTTAGTGTAAACACTTTTTTATTATGAAATTAAATACATCTTATACAATACAGATTCACATTCACTGTGGAAATGCGATTCTGAAACAAGCAACAAGTGCTTATATTAATCTGTCTCCTTGTTGAATTGGATGCAACTAGAAGTCCATTAACGGACTTCTGATACCGTGAATATACAAAAATAAATCAACACTACATGCTCTGTTACATAATACAAATATTGAAAATGTCAGTTGAGTTTCATGATGAACCGAAAAAAGAAAAGAAAAATGCACTGACTATAATGACATAATACATAAGTATAATAGTCCTAGCTAATACACACGTCTTCGCTTGTCAAGGGAAACTATCCGACCCGCTCCTCTTCACATGCAGAGGAGCGGGTCGGATCGTAACCCTTAATTGGCTAGCGAAGATGAATATATAAGGATTTAATTTGTACGTAAGAGGAACTCGAGTTGTCGTTCTTCTTAATTGAAACTATGTTAATATTGCTACTAAATATATCATTACTTCGTGACATATAACAGGAAGGATTAAATAGAGTTAAACACGAGCACTCTGTGCGTGTTTTATATATATATATTTGATTTGCTTTATATGTTGCATATGCTCCGTATTTATCAGTCAAATGTGCTGCTTGAATTGATTGCATGGACTTTCAGCGATTTGACCATATGTTATTGAAAAGCCTGACAAATGCAGGTGAGGTTGTCCAATTTCATTTAACGACACTTTGGTGTAAATGTATATATGTTGCTATTTAAAGAGTTATTATATATATATATATATATATCAGTCGGTTAGAGAGCTCTAAAGAGTTCATGCTCTATGTTGATTGAATATATGAAAACCCGACTTTAACATTACTTACTTTACTTACTTACTAGCACTTACTGTGAAATTTCACCCATAAAATATATAATTAAAATGAGCCACTCGAAGGGTGCCACAAGTGGAACAGGAACTACCTACCTCTCCGGCACCCGAGTTCTCTCTCTCTTTTCGGTAGGATCGTTTGCTCAATCTTTTGTTTTCTGTGCTTTAATGTGCTTTCTAGTGAACAGTGAACTGTTGTTTTCTATGCTCTGTATTTTCTTGTGGACTTGTTTTCTGTGCTTTGTGCTTCCCAGTGGACTGTTGTTTTCTATGCTTTGTATTTTCTTGTGGACTTGTTTTATGTGCTTTAATTGTGCTTTCTATTGGACTGTTGTTTTCTATGCTCTGTATTTTCTTGTGGTCAGTTGTTTTCTGAGCTCTGTGTTTTTTTGTGGACTATTGCTTGTCTATGCATCCTTTTGTTTTTGCCATGGTTATATATCTGTCTGTTTTTCTTCGGCTAACGATTTTCATTCCCCACCACTGGGATCTTCCTTTTTATGCCACTTTTCTTATATAAAACAATTTGTAGTGTTATGTATGTAAGTGCCGTATGCAAATGACGTATGTACGTGCCGTGTGTACTTCATAAAAGAAGAAACGCATAGATAATACAGAGCAAATTAGAAAAAAGTCAATCAATAACATCCTCCTAGCAGTAAGCTGAAAGAATCAGAAGATATGTGGTTACAAAATATGGAAGAAGAAAAAGCTCATCAAAGATACCAGACTATGGAGAGTTGTCTCATTGGCACTCATACCACATCTTTTTATATCTATTATAATTTTGTATGCCAGACGAGCGTTTTGTCTACAAAAGGCTCATCAGTGACGCCTGAATCAAAAAAGTTCAAAGTCAAATCAAGTACAAAGTTGAAGAGCATTGAGGACCCCAAAATTTCGAAATAGAACACAAAAAACATGATACATAGGGTATGATATGATAAAAAAAATAACTGAGGAATTTTAAGTTCAGCGTCCGAAGATAAATTATATATTTATCCTGGATCGTGTCACAAGAGAAATAGTCAGATATTTCTTAGTAATTTCAAGATCGTGTTTTTGTTTTTTGTTTTTTTTTTGTAACTCTCTGACATTTGAAAACCATATATACTAGTACACAAATTGACATGATTTGTCATCAGGATGTTATAGGGGTCCGGATGGGGTTTACAGAATAGAGGACCAAATGAACAGAAAAATGGACAAAAAAAAAATAAAGAATATAGAAAAATCGACCAATAAAAAATCTGGTTTCCGAGTCAAGTGCGAGAAGGGATTTCGTGTCATGAATTGATACGTTATATTTCCATTCGAAACTTATATAGAAAGCATATATAATGAAATTTTATTTAAAAAAGTTTGATTGGGGTTTGAGCAACAAGCTCCGACTTGAAATGGGGATCCATATCGGCCCTTTAGTTAGTTTTCAAGTTTAAATATTTAACTTTGTCAGATCTTTGAATAATGTCTTTATCAGTACTTATATTGATTTAGTTATTAATATAGTTTAATACATAACTAAACAGATACTACTATCCAATTATGAACACTTACGGTCCATCCTGTCCGGGACTATTACATTTATCTATTGGTTCTAGGTCCTCACAGAAACATTATACATTAAAGTATATAGGTATTTTTTTCAGAGACAAGTGCCTGTGTAAGTCCCGTCGATATCTATATTTAAGCATTGTTTTTCCCAAACTGCTTATAACGTCTTTACGCTCAAGCCCGGTTGGACGTGTACTTCTTGTTATTTTAGTAATGAAATGCAATATCTATTTTTAAGTTGACATTTGGCTTTGAACTAATTTTTAAACTTAAAATACTCCTGGGTCGGTACTTTGTGTCATTTTGTGTTTTGTACTTAGTACAAGGCTTTTTCGAAATGTTTACTGTTTCAAAGTTCCAATGGTGTACTGTTACACCACTGTCCGAGGTTAGGTGAAGGTTGAACGCCCAAAAAACACGTTTGAACCCGCTACATGTGCTTTGTGCCTGTCTCACGACTGTAGTCCAGTGGCTGTCGTTGTCTGCTTGTCGTTGGTTACTGACTGCCGTAACTGTTTTTGTTATTAGCTTAAAATTAAGACGTTACTTTACTCTTTGGAATTGTTTCACAATTTGTTTTTCTTTATATCCTTGTTAGCTTACTACACGGTATGAGATTTGCTAATTTTGTAGCTTGTTTACATCCTTGTCCTCTGGTAGCTGTCTCATTTTCAATCATACCAAAAATTTATATTTTAGACATTGAAAGAATTTTAAATTTTTATTTGTGTGTGCATTGATTTTCGTTTGTCGTATGTCCAATGACAAATATTTCACATATTTTCAGGACGAGGCAACAACTTTCCTTCATTTCCATACGCTGAATCCGATTAGTAAAAATGATATGTGGAATAGGAATTTCTACATCACTCAAAAAATAAAATGCTCCGCAGGGCGCAGCTTGATACGACCGCAGAGGTCGAACCCTGAACAGTTCGGGCAAGTATGGACACAACATTCAAGCTTGATACAGCTTTGCATTTGGATTGTGATTAAATATTTGACACAGCATAGGTTTCTAACACAGAATGAATGTGGTGACAGGTCTAAGAACTTAAAAATTTTAAA